CAGTCCTGCACAGCATCCATCAGTTAGATCCTTATTCCAGGTAGAGCAGATCTTTTTAACTCGTTACAGGTCCATCTGGTAGGTTTCCTGGTGGGACTGAACAAAGTGAAGATAATGTACAGAAAGGTGAACTGTAATTTGTTCCACGGGGAAGAATGAATAATTGAACATGTACTTCTAATTACCACCATTCTTTTGCCAGTATTTTCTCTGCTCGTTATCTGGTCTTTGCCATTAGTTGTTCCTAAAATAATTGTTGAGGAAGAACTCAGAAAAAAAGTTATGAGCATTATGATATAAAGAGCAAAGTCATACAAAGAAACAAGTAAAAAGACTTATAAATATTTAATTAGCTTTCTTCTAAGCACGATCTCTGCCTAAATTGGCCTCAGTGCAGCAGTAGAATCTGCAATCCATCCTGTGGGGTGTTTCTCTGTCTTGGTATATGCACACAGATATAAAACGTGTTGTTAGGTGGCTAATCTATGTAGGTAGCTAAACTGGTATGAACTAGGGGAAATCGCTCCTGTAAGGCAATGGCCGTTTTCCATAGGAAAAACATATAAGGCTCAATTCACTAAGCTGTAACGATCATTATTTGCCATAATGGTCTGTTATCATTAATGATAATTAGAAAGAGCATTCATTTGTTTGAAGATTATGATTGCTATGGAACTTACACATGTATTTTAGTAAACTGTCTTTTGTATGCGTAGTACTGAATCACATAATAAATGCTGTTGGTTTGGCAGTACGGAAAATACATAAATGGAGAATGAGAGCTCCAAGTCTTGCAGAGCGGGTTAGAGTAGCAAGCTTGAGTGAAGCCTGGCGTACAGGCCAGGGGACTCGGAAACAAGAAGTCTGTGCATTATCGGGGAGGCACTAGAGGCACAGGATCTAAGAAGGGCCAGGTCTTCCACAGAGCCTCTAATTGTGAGGATGACTGGCTGCTGGACTCCTTCAAGGTTGCGGCCCCCTAGCGCACCCGCACAGACTCAGGAAACTGGTTGCAGCACCAAGGCTCGACACAAAGGCAGACATGGGCAAGGCCTGTACACAAACAGCAAAACAGGATACAGAGGGAGCAGGAGACCAAACAACAGTGGAAGGGAACACAAGGAGTCAACAGAGAGACGACAAAACACGGCTATCCGGAGATAACAGAGGAGCAAGGCTGCAAGGACAAACAGCCACACAGGAGAAAGACCAAATCACAAGTAAGCAGGATCTCACAGGGAGCACAAAGGAATCACAGGAGACAAAAGAGACAAGGCAGGTAAATAGCAATCCACAGGGATCCAAGGCAAATAGTACACAGGGGGTCCGGTCAAGTGTAATGACACGTTGCTCAAACAGCGGGCAACAGGTGAGCTGAACATTTAACACAGAGGTTCAGCGTGGATTGGCAGGAAGCCAAGCACATGGGACAGGAGGCAAAACCTGGTGCCGGATCATGACACAGGGAAGTGTGACAGTTACTCTTACAAATAAAGAAGTATGATAAGGGATGATATCAGCAAACATGGGGATGTCAAGCACACTCAAAATGGATGATTTTAAACTGGATGGGGGAATCTGATGGTGCCAGTGGTAGGTGTGCAAGCTCCTGTAGCAGGCCGAGGTGTCCAGTGTGGTACTAGGAGACAACAGAAAAGCAACAAAGAAGCGCCACAACCTAACGCATTTATTGGCGATAAGAACTAGATTAATAAAGGAGTGTTGCAAAACAGTGACTCTGGTGAGAAAACTGCAAAACAGTACAACCAGTGCCCTGATCATGTACCACTGTCCACAACTGAGCTAACTGAAGTGAAGTACAGTGGTACATGATCAGGGCACTGGTTGTACTGTTTTGTAGTTTTCTCACCAGAGTCACTGTTTTGTTGTGGCGCTCCTTTGTTGCTTTTCTGTTGTCTCATAAGGGATGATAGCTCACTGTCGCAGATTCCACAAATGTATATATGTCCAAGTACTAGTCTATTGGTCTGGTGTTTGATGGCTAACTGAAGTGTAGCGTCCAAGAAAAAAAAAAAAGGATCTGTCATATGACCATATCCAATTAGTCACAGCCAAGCATTGTTTGGCAATCTAGCTGCTAGGTCATGTCCATTTTCCCCCCACATATTCCATATTAAGTATGTTATCTAGAATGGGGTACTCTGCTTACTATGTTAAACTTTAGAAAATGTAAAGCATGCCTATGTTTAAAAGTTTTTTTAATCACAGATATATGCAGAATTAGGTTTGTTAAAAAAAATGATGCATCCAATATTTATGGCTAATGTCTAAGATGGGTAACTAATGTACGACGTCTTAATGTGTTCGGAGGGATACATATCTGATACATTAAGTGTTCACAAAAGGTAATAACATTGCCAGGAATTTTCAGTAACTCTGACTCATATAGATTGTCATTGAGTAGATTTTCCTGCTGTCTCATGAATGTTGATTATGTAATTGAATTGGTATATTCACTGTAACCCCCTTTTGTGGAAACCACTCGCAGAGTCACCCATGTATATCTCACAATCTCAGTTTCAGGTCTAATTTAATTTCCTGGTTTGCCCTCATTCAGGTTTAATGTACCAGAAACCATACTTTGCTCAGCACAAGTTGCTGAATATTATGCTGATTTCTCAGGCCTTCTGTTGTGATCAGGAATATGTAGGCTGAAAATGTGCATTGGTTATCAAAGATTGTGTTGATGTTAATCTGTTAAAAAAAAAAAAAAAATGTGTTCTCTTGACTGATCTTTTAGTACAGTAGTTCTCAACGTGTGTAATCTCAAGACCCACATTTGTGCTTGGTCATTAAGTCACGACCCAGGTCACACTGCAATGGAATGCACGACATTGGGTACCACGCGTTCCGATGTGGGCGTACGAACTGTGAGTGGGAGGTGCATTTGGGGTACCCTTCAAATGAATGGCAGCGCAACACACCTCCCGCACCAGAATGCATGGTAGGTGCAATTGCATGGTACCGTGTGTTATTCGCACTGTACTAGTGTGAATGGGCGCTCAAAAACACTGACATACATACACAACCACAGACACAATCTTACACACAAACATTCTCACACACATACCAAAATTTTATTTTTTATTAAGATCCACCCAGTCTCCCTACCTTCCAAAAACTGGTGTGGATTCTCAGCCTAGGGTCCAGTGTGGGCTGCTGTGCTGTGACGGAGATCCTTCCATACGTGCATTGCTTGTACAGCTTCCTTGTGCACCCTGTAGAGGTGCCGGGAGGCAGAATGTGACGTCACTCCGGTCCAGGCATATCTACAGGACACGTGAGGGAGCTGTAAGCAATGCATGTATGGATGGAGCTCCCTCGTGGCCATACCTCCAGCCCACCCCACCTCAAGCGACACTCAGCGCTGGGCAGCATATTTTGAATGGCCGCTTGGCGAGAGAACTGATTGTGCTGCTCTAGGAGAAGGCTGAGGAGCCTCTCACCTGGAAAAGTGGAAGGCATGTCACGACCCACCAGTTGAGAACCAAGGTTTTAGTATATTGTTCTGAAGGTCCAAGTACACTTTTTATTCCATAGTGTCTAGAATGGTATTACCTACCTTTGTAAAAGTGAACCTTTGCCCATGCAGGGCAAAGCAATAGGTTCGCCTAATTGGCCAGCCATTATGGCTTATCTTCTCCTTCCTGTCACTTCCCGGATGTAATCATGTGTACACATCAAGTCATTCTAGACAGGGCTAAGGATTCTCTCCCCACACCCAAGTGAGATTACTAGGGGCTGGTGATTGGCTGCTTAGACACCAAGTACTACATTGTGAAAGGAAGGGCAGGGAGTCGCATGCTCCCACATCCAAAAGTATCTAGAAATTCACATGCCTTGGGTTTAAAACCAAGAGAATGAGTATAGGCAGTAGGCAGGCTGGCAATTAAGTGAGCCTCTTGCTTTGCCATTCATGAGCAACGCGCAGGTTCTTTTGAAAGTATGTTCTCTTTTCTAAAAGTCTGTTTCCTAAGACCCCCTACTGTGGTTCACCATATCCCAAGTACGCCTGGACATACGCACATTTTTACTAATACCCATAGCTAGGGCTATGTTTGCCTTGTTTTCCAAACTATCCTTATATGTTTGAAATAGTTAAAGAAGAACTGCGGGCAAATAAAAACAACTTGCCCAAGCAGTGGGGCTACCCCTGCACTCCTAGGGTTAAGTCCCTCCGAGCTGCTAGACCAGTCCCTGCAGCCTCTTTTCCCCCTGGGCTGACTGTCGCATCTTATGCAGGTCTATTGATTTGCACTAGACGTGAGGACTCTGAGAGACATTCCATAGCCGGAGTAGAGGGGGGAGCGCAGGATGGAGGATCAGGTGAGTAATACAGCTTTATTGGAGCCTCCTAGGCAAAACAAGCACTTAACATTTGCAGTGCAGGGATAGTTCTTTATTTACATAGTTCTTTATTTATTTACTTACAAGGGTAAGTTCTTTATTTGCCTCGAGTTCTTCATAAAGAACATAGGTAGAAATATGGACACCGGCACTCCAAATGGCAAATCAGATACGTCTACTTACTGACGTACATGCAGCATAGCATGCATGTACGTCAATAAATAGACGTAACTGATTTGCCATTTGGAGTGCCGGTGTCCATATTTCTACCTATATATAGAGACGGTGGCCATCCGTCAATGGCCGTAGCACCCACTTAATGTTTTTGGAACAGCGGTTCTGAGTGCGATGGGCATATGGACTGTATCCTTCTTAAAGAACATACACACTTTTGTTTATGGGCTACATTTACAGTCACACCAAAGTGTGAGCGTTACAGGGTCTATAGTAACACACACTAATTTGTGCGAATGGAATGGTCCCTGAAGGCCTGATCACACGTGTCCATGTTCATGCAGCAAAACTCGTTCATTGTGTGTGTAAGGTCATTTTGGAAGCATTCTTTTTGAAGAACACAGTATTATCCTGTTAATTTTTTATATCCAGTTTCCACTTTTGTTTTCTTATTACAGAATGAAGTCAGAAGAGGTCACTGATCTCCAAAACAAGCTAGGAAAAATGGAATATAATAATGAAAGCATTACATTGAGGTAGACTTTATGTGTTTCATGTAATAAGCAATCCTGATTGTGCCAACAGACATTCACAGATATTAATGTTAAAGATCTCTCACACTGTGCCCTGGATGCCTGGATCTGCTATATGGATAAATATACTCCAGTGGCCAACGAGTGACAGCACGGGTCATGAAGATCCTTAATATGATGTGATTCTAATAGCCATCTAGGTCATTGTGAATGTGAGTGACCACACATGCAAGTGTGCGTGACTGCAAAATGTTTACAACATGCCACTGGAAAACCTCAATATACTGCAATAGATGTTGCTACACATTTTCAGCAGATTTTGCTGCATATCCAGTTATCTCTAGTAATAACTGTGGCCCAAGGGAGCAACTTAAAGCTGAACTCTGGACAGGTAAAAAAAAACAAAAAAAAACAGCAATTCATAAAGTTGGGTCGTCAACAAAGAATTAAAGCTGAACTCCAGCATTACCTTCAGTCTTGCACAGTTGTACAGGCACCTCTTCTGCACTGTAATTGCTTCCTCTCCTTTCATTGCACACTGAGAGCAGTACATTTACTAATGTATTCCTCAGACCCAAACTCAGCATATTGCTGGCTACTGCCCACTATATAATGACAGCACACAGCTGCACTGCAGCCAGCAAGGATTCTGAAAATATTGTCAAGATCCACCCAACCCAGCTATTTGAGTGACAGCTGGCTCTGCCTCTCTAGAGTCAGCTGAGCCCACCTCCTCCCCTGTCTGTCCCTCCAGTGAGCTCTGGGGAAATAGGGAGGGGAGGAGGGAATCCCTGCTGGAGCAGTGACCGACAGTCACTTTCTGTAGGGAGAAGCCTGTGAGCTGAGTGATCAGTGGTCCTGGATCCCCCAGCTCTCTGTATATATAAAGCAGGCATATGACAACTGCAGTGTTACACGCTGGTGCTAAGTATTTGAAAGAGTTTGTATAGTTTGAATTAATTGACATGTAATACTACATCATGACCACTAGATGGAGCTGAGCAGCATAGGAAATACAATGGAATACTTTTTTTCTATGCTCCTCAGTTCCATCTGCTGGCCAAAATGTAGTATTACATGACAATACATTCATATTGGAAATAATATATAAAGTGCATTCATTTTTTGGCATTATTTGCCCAAAAAGAACATTCACAGGTATTTATTGTTGTTTGTAAATAGACCCCATAATATAAACGGGGCCCAAAGTCTTTTCATTGGGATACAGAAAGCAAAAAAGGACATTATTGTAGAATAAGAAGGATTAGAACTCCAGTCAAGTTTTGCTGTTTGAATCCCCGGCAGGGAAATTGTTTTACTTTCTGTCCCAGTGACAGCTGATTAGGATAGGGAGTCGGGGGAAATCTCCTGAGTGTTGGCTCAGACAACAGTTAAACCCTAACACTGGTTCCAACCCTTTCAAGCAATCCAGAATTTAATGGCTTGAGTTACACTTTAAAGCGAATATTGTACTGTGCTTGTGTCATCAGCATTCTATTACCTGTTTTAGCTAGTATCTGAATGATACATTTTTCTAATGAAACATACTTCTTTAGTACTTCTGCTTCTTAGGTATTCTACCATGAACACTATGCAAACACTTATTTGGAAACCTGTTATTTCTTGGTTACATGGCTGTGGTGTTGTTATACTTCTCAGGCTTACAAAAGAACTGAAGGAGAAAGAAGATTCTGTGACATACCTTCAACAGAAGTGCCAGCAGTTACAGGAAGAGATCACCGAAATGGGAAACACAGAAGACAATCACAGAAGGAGAACTCAGCGTTTAGACAGTGAACTGGAAACAACGAATGAAGTTTTAAAGCAAACAGAGCAAGACCTTGCTCACTTGCAACAAGAAAGGTGCTCACTTGTCTGCACTGATGTTCATGTATAGCTTAAAGCAGAACTTCGGACAAATTCAATCTTATCCCTTGCAGTGTGGCTACCCCTTCACTGCAAGGGTTAAGTGCTCCTTTTGTCTAGGGAGCTAATAAAAAAAGTTATTTACACCTGAACCACCCGAACTTCTACACCGCTTCCTCCAACCTGTCTCCTCCTCCGCTGATGGGATGCCCCTTGGCGTCCTCATGCTTTATACACTGTGTATAGAACGTGATGAGTTACTAGATCTTAGACCGCAGGAGTAGGGTAGGAGTGAGGTTGAAGGGACCCGCCTAAGAGCAGGAATCGTAGATCGGGTAAGTATAACTTTGTTGTTTTTTTTAAGCTCCCTAGACAAAATGAGCACTTGACCCTTGCAGTGCAGGGGTTTGATATACCTGGAGTAATGCTTTAAAGTGTATTTCTAATTTCTCAGGCAAACTTGAGAAAGCCCCCACTATATATTTGTTACTTGTTCCTATTCACACAGCGTATTCTAAAAAAATTTTTTTTATATATATTTCATTCCTTTTAGATATCTGAATTTAGCAGGCCTTTGTAAGTTTCTCTCTACATTTCAGTAAGAGGAAGCTCTGTCTGTCCTAATAGAAGTACTAAGGACAGACTGATCCCCCTCATTAACATACAATGAAATAAGTAAATAGAAAAAAAGAGGGACAGCGCCCACTCCTAGTGTAATAACGTTTTCTATTAAATAGAGTACAATGAAAAAACTACTCACAATTTGGATGAGCAAATAGCATGCGGTTGTCAAAGGAGACTAGAAAGCTATCTGGTCTCCTTTGATAACCGCATGCTATTTGCTCATCCAAATTGTGAGTAGTTTTTTGTATAATCATTGTACTCCATTTAATAAAAAACGTTATTACGCTCGGAGTGGGCGCTGTCCCTCTTTTTTTCTATTTACATGTTTTGTGAGAATGCTTCCTTTTGGCCTGGTGGTGGTGAGGACGGCAGGTTCCTCCCTTTACGTTGATGTGAAGATATACTTCTCTATTGGGCGCTGTGTTGCACAATATTACACAATGAAATAAGCCAAGCTTCTGGAACTTTAACCCTTTGTTAGGACAGACAGTGTTCAGATCTAGTTTATAACTGATCATGAAAACTGCCAGCACAGTACAGACAGGGTTAATTATGGTAAACATTACTCTCCCCACCCCCGTGCATTCCAGAGGAAAATGTAGTACAGAGAACAGCTTTTCTTTCAGAATTGAGCATGTTTTATGCAAGCAGTATTTTTTTTCCATTATTTATGCTTTGTGAATGAGAAAGGTAACAAATATAAAATTTGTGTTATCCCAATTTAGCTGCAAACGTGGAAATACTCTTTAAGCCATGGTACTTTCACATTGTGTCCATCTCCAGTAAGCATTACTCCACACACAGCACAATTTTAACATTGTTTCTGATTAAATCAGAATTTCCTAAGACGTGCCACAGGCTCATCATCTATGTAACTTTCTCATCGAGTATGTGGTCGTTTTTCAGTTTCTGTAGCAACGTTTTTTACCTGTAAAATAGTGGGCTTGGTGGTTGTGGTATGTCATCACATTCAAGAACTGATGAACTTAAAGCAGAAATAAAAATACAATATGATTCTTTGGTTATATGTGGGTTACTGTGCACACGGAAGGATAAAGAAGCAGCAGCTTCTTTATCCTTCCGGTTAGGAAGGATATATAGATTTATATTCAAAGCAACAGCTGCTGTGCTGTGTGTGAAAAAAAATATAACAAACTGTTAAACAAAAAACAAATATTTTATATATATATATATATATATATAAAACAAAGCAAATTGTATGTTATGTTTTTGGTTTTTTTTAATTGTAGTTTTAATTGCATTAAAATAAAATGCCCCAAACCTGCGTTCAGAGAGAAGCTTACTGGTATTATTTATGTGCTTACACATGTAAAAGCATGCGTATGCACATAAATTCATTCTAGCGGCTAGAATAAATGGATATTTTAGCCAGTAGAATTAGCTTACGTGCATACGCCTCTGAACATCATATGTATGTAAACGTGTGTATTTGCACATCAGAACACACATTTTTTTACAGAGGATTTTTCTGCCTGCTTCTGGCACAAAGATCCAGTGCAGGTGGGAGTATTTTAATACCCCTACGTTCTATCTGCTGTGTCTTTCTGTGCTAAAAGTGTATCTAAACCCAAGACCAAAAATGTTATGTATCAGAGCTTACATTCCTGAAAAGAGAAATAAAGTTAAACCTTTTTTTAACTTTACTTTTCTTTTGGGTCAAAGAAGTACATTTACTAATGTATTCCTGTGGCCCAAAGTCAGCAGATAGCGGGATTGCGCCTATTTCATGCCGACAGCTCAGAGCTGTGCTGTAGCCAGGAAGGATCCTGATCCTGATCCTGACACTATTGACAGCTGGTTCTGCCTCTCTAGAGCCAAAGCCAGCTGTGCCCACCCTCTCCCCTGTATGTCCCTTCAATGAGCGCTGGAGGAACAGAGAGAGAGGGGGAAGGGGGTATCTCTGTGGGAAGCAGTGACTGACAGTCACTGCTCTTTGCAGGGGGAAGCCATGAGCTGAGCAATTAGCCGTTACATGATCACTCAGCTCTCCTTATATAGAGCCGGTGTGTGACAGCTGCAGTGTCCCATGCCGCCTTTAAGTATTGGAAATTGTATATTTTACTCTCTCAATACTTCTCCTTTAAAAAAGGTGGCTGCATTCGTTTTCTTTTCCCATTATTTTCATTAGGTGATCCTGCCAGTAACACACTTTGGTAACTATAAAGATATAAATGGCACGAGGCTATCAAAAGTGAAGGGAGATAAGGCCGTAGGGTCTTGATAAGGCTTGGGGGTATAGTGGGAGTACAGAGCAGTGAAGGAGGAGGTTGGAGAACCCTGCTGTGGGTACTTGCCTTGCTGGAGTGCAGCGTGGTTTGTGCATTCTCTCAAACCACACATCAGTGTCAATGGAGATGTTTTTACAACATTAAAGTTAGACTAGAATAGAAAATAATGGAAATTGTTTAATGTGTGTTAAGAACTTTCTGCATTGCAGATAGTTGCCAGCCAGATTCAGACTTTCAAATGACAACTAGGATCTGTAAATCTGACTTGAAGGTTATGGGAAACATGTCTGCCTTTTTATTTAAAGTGAACCTGTCTTGAAAAAAAAATATGGGGCGGCAATTTATAACCTACTTCTGAAAATGTTCTCTTTCTGACTCTGTCTGTTCTGGTGGCTTTCATACTTGCTGAGCGAATGACCTGAAATAAAAACTCAGATCAGGTCAGAGGTTCCTATAAGCATACTTGTTCTGGGCCAGTGACTCAAATAATTGAATCTAGATGGCCAGCGTTGACAGTCGGGCAACAAGCATTTTCAAAAGGATGAGCCAGTAATGGCAGCCTCTGTGTTTCTCTAATGACGGATATACTTTAAGACATGTTTCGGAATAGGTCCAGGGTCTGTTATCTAACTTGTCTACCCAATCATAAGCTAATACGTTTGAACTCTCTAAAGATGTCATGCGGCTGATCTGATCATAAACAGACGTGAAGTCTCACAGCAGAGATAATCATGAAATCCCTAATCCTGATGATGCCAAACTGCTTCCAGCGCTGTGCTACCCATTTTCCTGCATCAGCTGGCAGTGTGTGTGCTCATTTTATACATTTATTGCAGGACTTATTGACTTACAGTTATATAACTTGTTATTTTTAACATTTCTTTCAGGGAATTGCAAATGATTTCATATCAGAATAGAATCGAGCAGCTTCAGGAAACCCTGAAAAAGAGAATGCAGTCTGATGACAGCTGGGAGACAAAGGTACACGCAGAGCGCCTATGGGTGTGTTCGTATTGATGGATAGCAGCTTTTCAGTAGGTCTTTGATATGGCACATGTTCCAGCATGCTCTTCTTATCTGATGACATAATATGTGAAACAAAGCTCTGCAGTATCCTTTCTGATAAACAAATACACATTGCTGTTGGCATTGTGAAAAATCTACAGCCACTCCTGATCAAGGGGCCATTTTATACAGTAACGAAGTTGAAGATGAAAGCCCAATACTGAACCTCAACTGGGAAATATAATTGTCTCTTATTGTTAAAGCTCAATGACAGACTGCATATGCATAAATATCTGGGAGTGTTACATGAAAACTGTGTTTTCATGTTTGCCTGGTGTTTATCATATATAGATGTTTTGCACATAATCTGCAGTCCACATTTATGCGTCAGTAAATAGTAGTGTAACTTTGCAGGGCTTTTGGGTCCAGTTACTATTCTCTTTACCAAATAGTTGTAGCAAGGGCCGGCTGCTGTGCCCTGTTTCACAAGCCAGTTATATAGTTTATTGCAAATGAAAGAATCTGAACCCAAAAATGAATTAGGCAGAAAAATGTCATACATACACTTACATTCTGCTGTATAATGTTTTTCTTGATTAAAGTCTTCCCATTGCAAGAACTGCCTTGCTGCCTTGTCTTGGATGTCATTGGTTCAGTTTCCACTATAGACACCATCTGCTTGGAGTTTGCATGCTCTCCCTGTGTTTGAGTGGCTTTTCTCTAGGTAACCTGTTTTCTTCTCACAATACAAAGCCTGCTGAGACATGAATTGGCTTCCTCCAAATTGAACCCCATTTTGTTTAGTTGTGTGAATAATGGATGGGGATCAGGTACAGTGAGCACTAAATCGTTTCATGTACTGCAAACTAAAGTGCACAAAACAAAACCATTACTAACAGATAGGCTTCTATGGCAGAAGAGACTACCGTGTTTCCCCGAAAATAAGACACTGTCTTATATTTTTTTTCCCCAAAAAAAACACAGTAGGTCTTATTTTCAGGGGATGTCTTATTTTTTTTAATGTGCAACAAAATGTACAACACTTCAAAGTTTTTCATGTACAACAATCCAAAGTTTTTAATGTACAACAATCCAAAGTTTTTAATGTACAACAATCCAAATCTTGCTACACTCCAACAGACCCCTTGCTGGCTGCTTGGATGCATGTACATGTGCGCCCCCTACTGCCGAACTAGGTCTTATTTTCGGGGTAGGTCTTATATTACTGAAATCCTTGAAGATAGGGATAGGTCTTATTTTCGGGGTAGGTCTTACTTTCGGGGAAACACGGTATGTATGTCTCTTCTGTAATGAAAGCTGCTCGCTCGCCTGCCAGCAATATTTTGTAATAATGTACAGTGAGCCACGCATACGCAACTCAGTGTACATTCTCAGCATGCGGACAGTAGTTAGTTCATGCCAGCCTGGCCAATCACGATAGCTGAAAAAGGAGTCCCCTTTGCTGGTAATCTGCCAAAAAATACAAATACGAGACTTCCGGTTCCGTCGCCTAATGGAGTAGAAGTGTGCTCCTGAGCTCCGTCTAGCCTTCCCGTGGAACTGGTTGTTAAAACCGCATAAGGCTCATATCGGAACCCTAACTTAACTCCTGGACGTACAACATCGTGGCATGGATCGCTACCTAGCCAAATCGGGATCCGTCCGGCGATCACTACACCTGGCGGGGAACACTGACGGCGCCTCAGAAATGGCGGACGCAGACGATCACTCGGATGCCGGTAACGAGCACTCGATCACCACGCACAATATCACATATCCACCTGACCCCATAGACTACCACAAAATAGCATCAGAGGTGGCCTCTTACCTTAAAGCGGACATTGCGGCTGTTATTGCCTCCTCCATACAGCAACATCTAGGCCCTCTGAATGCGGCCCTGGAGACTCAGACCACCAAACTGCAGGCTATGGAGCTGCGAGTCAGTGATCTAGAAGATCGATCCGCGGCCGATCATAGAGCGCACAACAACTCGGCCAAGACGATCCAGTACCTAATGGAAAAGGTAGATGACCTGGAAAACAGGGCACGCAGGAATAATCTGAGAGTAATCGGCGTCCCTGAAGCCATAAAACCGGCAGAACTACAGCGTTACTGTGCAGCCACTATACCTCAGGCTCTGGGCCTATCACACGCATGCAAAGTTGAAAGGGCACATAGGCTGGGGCCCCTGAAAGATGATGACACAGCGCGGCCCAGACCTGTGATAGTGAAATACCTTGACTATTCGGATAAACAAAATCTGCTGCAAAACTATCGTGTTCAGCGCAACTTGGTGGTCGGCGGCTGTAAACTACTTCTATTTGCAGACTATTCTGCGGAGCTATCGAAACTGCGGAAAACATTCCGGGAAGTCTGCCAAATCCTTACTCAGAAGAAGATAAGATTCTGTCTGGCTTACCCAGCCACGTTACGCATTGTGCGCCCGGACGGGCAAACAATGCAGTTCACCTCAGCGGCTCGGGCCCACGAATACGTGGAATCCTACAGAGTGCAGACATCGCCAAGCAAAAGCCCTCCGAGGAAGAAGAAAGCCTGAACACTTCCCTCAGCAGCTCTGATTCACTGGGGTCATTACTGGACTCTTGGATTGTACAACACATGAAACTTAACCTGCGGATGGTTGTGAGTATACGACACATATGTTCCACTCATATTTTTCTGCCAAAAGCTATGCCTGCATAATGGCTAGACGGATTCAGTAAACCTTTTGTTTCGGTTAATTCAGGTTGCACTGGTCAGATAGACTGATCTATCACCACTAGTTACCTATGTTTTTCCACACTTCCATTGGGAAAAAAGGAAGCCAGCACCTGTTGTGTTTGCTTGCATTTGTTTCGGTGTTACACCTGCACTGGAATACTGCATTACTGTATTCCATCATCAGGATGACCCGATTTTTGAGTTGTCATTTCTATTCAGTTTGGTCAATTTTTGTTGTTCTGAAGATATTCTGTGACAGATTCACCGACTCGTCGGTTCCTTTTTATGACATCTCCTCCTTCCTCATTGGTCGCGCTAGAGCAAGACATTCCTTCCTGAGATGTGGCCGGTTAGCTGGGACACCGGACCACTCCCTCCTCCGCTTCTACTTTATTGAATATCACCATGTTTTACTTTACACATTCTGGATATGGGAACACCATTGAATATTATATCCTGGAATGTCAAGGGACTTAAGTCTCCTCATAAACTAAGGCAAGTTATACGACATTTGAAAAGTTTGCGTGTTGACATTGCAATGCTACAGGAAACACATCTTCAATCCGCGGACATCCCTCGCATGCGACAATCCTGGGTGGGCTCGGTACTTGGAGCTCCGGCCTCTGGAAAATCTGCTGGGGTCGTCATCCTCATACACAAGGCCCTGTCCTATACTCTCCTATCACAACAACACGATGAACAGACCGGTCGCTGGTCTCATATCACCCTACAAATTGGCTCCAAGGTCTTGGATTTATGGAACATATATGCCCCAAATAATGACAACCTACCTTTCTTCCAGAGTCTACTAGCAAACATACCATTCCCTGCTAAACCTAGATGCCAAATTGCTCTCTAAGATACTTGCTGATCGCTTGGCTTTGGTACTCCCAGGTCTCATTTCGTCTAATCAATCTGGTTTTGTAATGGGAAGATCCGCTGTTACAAATGTACGAAAAATTATCTCTGCTCTTGAAATGTCTAGGCTTACACCGTCTTCCCCGCGTCCTATGACCCTTTTGGCTTTAGACGTGGAGAAGGCCTTTGATAGAGTTAATTGGTCATGGCTGTCTTTGGTAATGTCTCGTATGGGATTTTCTGCAACATTTATTGATTATATATGTACTGTATATACTACCCCAATGGCACAGATTTACCTCTCCACTGCTCTCTCCTCCTCTTTTCAATTACATAGGGGCACACGTCAGGGATGCCCACTATCGCCTCTATTGTTCAATATAGCCATCAAACCGCTGTCACGAACATTGGCGGACTCCCCTATTTTCCAGGGAATTAGGATTGGTTCTTCCGTACTTAAAATAGCCTTATTTGCGGATGATATTGTCCTTTTTATCACTGACCCACAAACATATATTCCCACCATTTTAAGTCACATAGAATTATTTGGCACATTCTCAGGCTTCAAAATAAATTTAGACAAAAGCGAATTACTTCCTTTAACACATATCTCCGCCTTTACTTCCCCTACTTGGTCAGGAAATAGCACCATCCAGGTCAAACCCCATAGCATCACATACCTGGGTATTGTTATCCCTCGATCCAGTACTACCATATATTCGAATAACTATACCCCGCTGATCCATAAGATTATACATGAACTACAGGGGTGGCGTAATTTACCATTATCCACACTTGGCAGGTGCCATCTAATACGTATGGTCAGCTTCGCTAGACTACTATACCCCATGCAGACCATCCCCATGCTGCTTAAACACAAGGATGTTCAATCCGTGTATAGTGCATTCTCCAAATTTATCTGGAAAGGAAAAAGACCTAGAATTGCCCTACGTAAGATGCAACAACCTGTGAATCAACTAGGAGCCAATCTTCCAAACCTAAGACTATATAATTTAGCTAGCAATTTTAGACATGTGAGAGACTGGATACATGATACGTCCTTCTGCACAAACACTCAGCTGGAAAGACAATGGGTGGCTCCGTGGTCGTTGATCGGCATCCTGAATACTCCTCTAAGACAACTGCCCACCACCATTAAATCCAATATTATATTCAGGGACACTATCCTCACGTGGAGGGAAATAAGAAAATTATTGCATATCCCGGGAGTTGTATCTCCCCTATTCCCGATCACGACATCTCCAGCTTTTCCTGTGGGCCGGGAATCTGCTCCGTACCGCATATGGCAAGCTAAGGGTATAAACACCATCCAAGCTTTGTTCAATACCCGGCTTTAACATGACCCGGCTTGTCATGTAAAAGTTTCTTAGATATAC